TGATCCAGAAGAAACTCATTGCCCCCTCCAGAAGAGCTACCTCCAAAAGCCAGGAAATGTCATCATCTTCCCACAAAAAGTCATTGTTATCCTTCTGCTCTTCTTCTGCTGCTGGCAAGACCCCTAACAAAAGGGGTAAGAGGCATGTCGTTACTCTGAGGGATTATTTCACTCTGCTTTCTCCCCAGCCATGTCACCCCACTTTACAAAGAGAGAACTTTACAAAGGTAACCATTTAGTCCCTCTGAAATTACCTTTGCCGTGCTCCACTGCAACAGAGCGCGCATCCAAACTTTTGCCCACTGCAGCAGGAAGCAGCACACTTTCTGCTGGACCTTCAGAATCAGTCTGTGTAATTGAAAAGACATGTCTGAGAATTGGTAAAGGCTCCTTCTCAACCCACTTCCACGTACAGCACTTCAGCTTCAGCCAAAAGGCCTAATAAGCGGGATAAGGTGGTGGAAGCAACAAAACGGGCAACACAGCCAGCACATTCGGCATCTCTCTTGAGCAGGGCTTTGCAAAGGGGATGAAGTACTCGTGTCCAATCCAGAGGGAACCTAGGCTGGAGAAATACATCTCCAGACAGTAGGTCATTTGACATTAATCGATCCAGGGAAGCAGGCTGGGGGTGGGGAAACAGCAATCCTCACAATGCCAGTCTTATAGGATTTCAGAGGACTGTAAACAGCAGGAAGCTCTACTGCTTTGTTCTAGAAATCCAACTTGGAGGTCAGTTGCAAGGAGACCCAGGATATTAGCTTGACCTCATTTGTCCCAGCACTAACTGAACACTTTGTCTGCCGCACTGGCATGTCCAGGTCCAAGGTACAAGCATGTGGCAACAACAGCAGCGAAGGGAAAGGAGCCCCGACGCCATTGATCCAGAGGAACCTCACTGCCTCCTCCACAGTAGGTACCTCAGAATCCCAGGGGGAGTCATTGTCTTCCTTCTGCTCTTCTCCTGCTGCTTGTAAGACCCCTAACAAAAGATAACAGGTTTGTCATTACTCTGAGGGCTTAATTCACTCTGCTTTCTCCCCAGCCATG